GAATAATGAAGACTCGGTATCACCGGTTACCGTCTATTCCGGTGTGACCTATGGTCCCATTCGGAGGTTGACGCATTGACGTTTAGTCCGAACGCGTCGCTTTTGTGTTGTCGATGACATAGATTATTATTATAGGTTCTACCCTCCCGATCATGTACTAGAATAAGTTTATATATGATATATTATACCGCGATGTCCATTGGATGTCCATTCGATCTACCCGTCCTTGGCGTATCCTTGACCGGGATGATGTTCTCTATGCTGCAAATGCTCCCCAATCAGCGTCCAAAAAGAGGTGGTCGACGTCCCTTCACCCACCGAATTGTGCTGCAGCCATTTCGAGGAGGTTATCTCTACCCAACGCGTTTTGTGTGTAACGAGCGTTAAACTTCATGATCTTCTTCATCGCGTTGTACGTCTTTACATCCAATTCCAGAGGCTCTTTCAAGACGACGAAGTTGATGCCTTCTGAGCACGGTGGCGTGGTAAGGGAACCCACGTAATGATATTTGGGCCTGGTCTGGATTGCGGTAGCGAGGTCTGACAAGTCGAGATGTTCGATCTGGGTGATAGATCCAGGTTCCTTGACGCGGTGAAGGTTCTCGGTAACATCGGAAAGGAATTCACTCGTGGTATTGTTCTCCGACAGCTCAAACAAAACGGCGAGAACAACGAAGCTGCTTTCGGTACGTGTGTCGCGAGCATGAAGAGCCTTCAAGCTGTGGTAGGATGATGGCGTCGCTGATGTAGTTGTAGATTCATGGACCTGGTACGGAGCGTGTTGGTAATCAGTAGACGAGAAGGAAATAGTCTTCGGGACAGGGTGCTCACCATGTGCATCTCCAGGGGGTAATACTCTCCGTTCAGACGGTGCTCACTCGGTGTGTGGAAATGGAACTGCTTCAGATGATAGTCTCTGCCCTGGAAGTTCGCTGTTCCGTTCACGCCTACTACTTCCAATGTAGACCCAAGGTTCTCGAGCTCGACTTCGTGTGCAGAATGGAACATGACAGTGACGGGTGGTGCGTTGGGGGTTGATGTATTCAAGACAATTGGTGACTGGGCGTGCCCTGCATGGCAAGCAGTATTATTGGGGTCCATACCAGCCCATACCAAGGGGCCTGTCTCGTCGTCGTATCCAAAAGGGCTGGTCTTGACTTTGCCATCATTGACTTCCCGTCGAAGAAGGGTCGTACCATGGCTGCAGGAGGCTCGAGCGGAGAGGACGAAGGATGCAGCAAAGAAAGTGAAGGAGAGGATCCTCGTCACCATTTTGCGGGAAACGACCAAATTTCAAAGCTTCCCCAACAACCACTTTCTTTATACATGATTTCAAAGCTCCGTGGGGGACCTCGCCGCAATATGTATTGCCATTCCCTCCAGTACACCAGGGTCCGCACAGATAATTATCGGCAATCATGATCAGGGTGACAAAGGAACAGGAAGAGGTGGCAACGGGTCGATGCTCGTCCGTTTCCTCCGCATGGGATCTTGTGAAACCTCCAAGTTTTGCTTGGAGCATGACAGGAGTATAGCGACACGGTTGAGGACTGCAGACTGAACTTGCTACAATGTGGGAATGCGTTGATGAACAGCACCACTAGTTATTTTTGTCAATCCATTCACTCGTGGAGGCGCACAAATCCGACCCTGCGTCCTAATACAGTACACTGTGATCCTATTTGACTTGGAGCCGGTATGTTGTGAAGACGGAAGGGACGTTGCACCGTGTAGGCCGTCCGCAGTGTCTGCATTGGAACAGGGAACAACACTCGTTGCCACGGTCACTGTTAGTATAATTATCAATGGCGGATAGGCGCAGACTGAGGTACAACGGAGTGCAGACCTTCGATCGAAAAAGTGATCGAAAAAGTAAGGGAACAATACCAAGAGAAAAAAACCTACACCAGTGACTAGTAGCTTGCTGTTTCACGCTTGCGGCCCAGTGTGCATGGGAAAAACCAACTCTAGATGTCTAATTCTTTTTCCAGTTTCTCGAAATGGGTTGGAATGCCTTCATGAGGCCGTGAGAGTTTGCAGCAGGGGATGAAGAGAGCACAACGCCTCAATGTCCCCGCCGTTGGAATCTAGTCGGACCCTAAGTTGTGTGTGAATGATCAAGGCTGAGCGCTCAACGCCGAGTAGGGCCATTGGGTAAGTAGAATCTTGAGTCCCCAGTCGAAGCGGGAGTTCTTGTAGAATGGGACGGTCGGGGCGCAGGAGTTCGAATGCACCCAGGAGGAGAGTCCAATGGAGCGAATAGAAGAAGAGATCTGGATATTCATCCACACTTGATTTCCGCTTATCGATGATGCAAAGAACCTACTAGATGTTCGGGAGTTGGGCGAGAGCAGAGAAGCTTACGTTGGACCAGTCACCGCTGGTCAAGTCGGAGCATCAATATCCGGCGAATCCCGAAACACCCGGCAGGCGATAGGCCAGCTACTTTTAGCTCTTCACACTCCCCACCTCCCACACAGCTGCGCAGTTACTTACTGATCATGATCTTGATACGATGCAAATTATCGAGAAGTCATGGCCTACTAGCAGTTATTCCCACGCCGTAGCTTTGGGTACATCGACGTGAACGATGTCCGGGCCAAGGTGAGCATGGCTAATTGTATTCAGTCGCATTCTCACTTCTCATGCACTGGCTTGGGATTAGCCTCACATCGACAGAGTACCACCAATGAAAACATCATTTGTCAGCGGATTTTTCCACGGATTTGCAGAAAGAAGGTCCTCCATAGATTACCGGATTTGACTTCCTCCGTCGTTCTTGCTCGTACTATTGTGAGGGATTGGGGGATTGAGGGGCTAAGAGGTACCCTTCGAGATGTCTCTGTTGAGGCGAAATTCCCATGATTCGACTAAGGCGGTAGTGCGACGTGATGAATGTGCTTTTTTGGAAATAACAAACCCCTCCTTGACATACCGAGGCATCACACAAATACCGCTGTTAGATTACTGGCTGTTGCTTCCTCCCATCATGTCGGACCATTCCTCCTCTTCATCTAGGTCGCGCAATCTCATACTGTGCTTCGATGGGACGTCAAGTGAATATTCAAGCCAGGTGGGCCCCTTGTTCGCATTGTCAAGAGATTACTGATCTTTCGGTCTCGACAGAATACCAACGTTGTTAAGTTCTTCTCCTTGCTAGAGAAGGGCGACTACGAGGAACAGCTTTGTTACTATCAAGTCAGAAACGTTGAACTCTCATATCGTGTTTCGGTTAACAATAATCGCTCCCAGGCCGGTGTCGGCACTTATTTCGACCCGGGTGTCGTATCACCGTTGTTGCAGTGGGGGGCAAAGGTACTGGACGAGGCGTTTGCCTGGTACGTAGCTGTGACTCTGAGACTCACCCAGCGTGCTGACGGCTTTCCAGGTACCTCCCAACACATGTCATGGAAGGATATAAATTCCTCATGCAGAATTATCGCCCTGATGACAAGATCAGCATATTTGGTATGCACATGGCACCTTACGCTCACTCCCGCGTTCCATCTTGATATAGACGCGACTTGCCTGTTCAGGTTTCTCTAGAGGGGCTTACACAGCTCGGGCGGTGGCAGGAATGGTGTACAAGGTACGTCTTATTGTATATTCATGCGTAGGTGGCTGACAGCCAGCTTGTTCCATGCCCATTTAGGTTGGGCTCCTTCCGAAAGACAATGATGAACAAATTCCATTTGCCTACAAACTATACTCTCGGACGGATGATGAAGGTATTCAGTTAGCGGCGGGCTTCAAATCGACGTACTGTTCAAATCACAGCGTCAAGATTGAGTTCATTGGTGTTTGGTACGTGGCACTTCACATTTGGCATCCTACCTCAAGATTGCCGCTGACAGTTTTTATAGGGATACAGTATCTTCAGTTGGGGTCATTATGACCAGATCTCTTCCCTTTACAAACTCGAACACGGCAGTGAAAACGTTTCGGCATGCAGTCGCTATCGATGAGGTATGCCCGATTGATTCCTCTGAATGGATCGGATTTTCTCAACTCCCTACTGCTGGTGGCATTAGCGACGCACCAGGTTCCGGGCTAATCTGTTCCATCGACCGACAGGCACGGGGGATATGAACGTTGGATCACTACCCAAGAAACTCAAAGGGCGATTCCGTTGGGGTCTCAGTCGCAAGAAGCAAAGGGAAGCGAAGGTTGTCTCTGCATCATCGTCGGCTCCCAAAGACGACAAGGACGAACCCACTATAGATGTCCAGGAGGTCTGGTTTCCGGGTTGTCACAGCGGTAAGGATCAGACAACGGGCCTATCACTGACTCTCCATCCTCTGTTACCGACTCTGACTCTCCTGTTGCCAACTAGACATCGGCGGTGGCGCTGTCAGAAACGACACGCCTCACTCACTCGCGAACATCACCCTCAGGTGGATGGTTCGCGAAGTCATCAAGTCTCAATGTGGGATTCTCTTCCGGGACGATGCCCTTGCCAAACTTTCGATACCCAGAATCGAAGTACCCTCCGTTCGCATTGATCGCACGACCGAGGCCCCATTGCCAGTGCTTGTTCCAGCCGAATTAGACGAACCTCAAATGCGCGAAATGGATAAACCTGACGCTCTGGCGCCTGCACACGATAGGTTGAGTCTCGGTAAAGATGGGGAAGTACTGTGGTGGGTCCTCGAGGTTGTACCGATGCGTTATTCGTGGCAGGATGCAGATGGTGTTTGGCATGAAACTTTTGAGTGAGATGTTCTTATTCTATGTACTGCGACGTCCATTGACGCAGAGCCTTTCAGAGCGAACCTCGGTAGAGGGAGGAAGATTGAGGATGAACATCCGAAATTCCATGTTACGGTTCGAGAGAGGATGAAAGACCCGAAGTTGAAGTATAAACCTAATGCTCGATGGAAGGAGGGAACGGAAGTGTATGTTGAGTAACTTGCCTCGTTTCTGTGTATGAATACTGTACCTGAACCGAGTGATGCATGGCTTTACCTGATATTTATGTAATGCGCTCCTCAAAGTTCACATCCCCCTTAGCTCAGTGGTAGAGCGCTTCACTAGTATTCTGTACATGAAGAGGTCAGTCGTTCAAGTCGGCTAGGGGGAAGTGAGAAGATCGCGACAGAATTTTTTTGCTTTCGGCCACTCTATCAATATGATCAGGGAACTAACTACAAGGAACTTAAAGGTCAGGCTCACTAAATCCTCACTGTCCTCACTGTCAGGCATCTCGACCTGAACTGCGTGGCATATACAACTTTACTTTTATTATAAGCAACCAGCTTTTAGACACAAATACATAACCTGTCGTCGCTTGAGGAAAGTAAAGTATCGAGAGCGTAAGAGAAAACAAAGGAAATCTGACGAGGCATAGAGAAAAAGAGGAACGCAAGCGCGGCGGTGGGATCTAGCTATAAGAAGGTGCAAGGCGAATGATACTACCAGATCGAAAAGTGCAAGGGAAGAGGGTTCAATAACACACGAATACGAGAGCCAAAGGATAAAGCGCATATTCGCACAACCGTCCGAACGCAAGCGAGGGATACATACTGAGGCAGAGGGGAGAGAGAGGGAGTTTAGCCCATAAATACGTGCAACGTAGTAGGACAACTGTGGAACAAAGAAAAAAACTTATGAAACACGGGAGGTAGAGACAGACATGGACAGACAAGAAAAATAAGGACGCGTGAAGGGGCCTAAAGAGTGTGGTGGTATATCGTACATATCTTCTCTTTAGGCAGGGGAATGTCGGAAGCCCGAGAACGAATATGAACATCTGGAAAAGCCTCCTGTTTGAAGCGCAAAAAAAGTCAAAACCTATCGACCAGTATAAAGCGGAAGAAGACTCACATGTACAAAAAACAAAACCGCTCAAGGAGAATGGCGTGGGGGCTCCTAGCTCCCCCCTCGGGGCCACATATCGACAACTGTTCTCCGCCTCTCTCTCTTCTGTCCAATCGTGGACATCGCTGCTCTATCCGCTGCATGTCCTCCAGACACCGCAGCGTTACCCCCCTTAACACCCACAGTCAAAGACGATTCATCGAACGAGATCCTAGGTGCCCTCGACCCGTCCTTATCTCTAACAGTTCCGTTCCTCCTGTAGACGTCCCTCTCGGTCTCGCTACCTCCAGATGTCATCCGCTGAATCTTCCCCGGAGTGATTGCACTCCTGCCTTTCGACGACAATGATGCGCCATTAGAACCCGGCGGAGGATCAGCTAGCTCGTTGTGGTACTCGTAACTATCGTCCCGTAGGTCGCTCGAGTTCGATAATGTTCGCTGCCGCTGCTGCTGCGCACGCTGTTGTTGTTGCTGCAACCCACTCAGGGCAGTTGTTGTCGATGACTTCGAGAATGTTACGGTCGAACGAGCTCCGCCACCGCTACCACCAGAGGCGGCCGAAACGTTTGAGTTGCCACGGACGAGTGGGAACGCGCGTTTTTCAGGTGCCCCAGAGGCATGTGTGGTAGTGACGGCAGTGGTGGGCGCATCACGAGTAGTCAAAGGGAAGGCGGGGCTGCGGGCTGTGGACGAGGGTCCGTGTGTAGTTCTACGCCTAGAAAGAGTGGAGGCGTTCGAAGCGGAAGTTTTGTTGGCCGGGGTTTGAGTTTGTCGGTATTCGGAGGGTAACGCTGGACGGGGAGAAGGTATCGCAAGTGGAGGTAGTGTTCGTGAGCTATCAGGGAGGGGTCTCGGACTTCTTTCGTTTGTAACCGACTGTTGTTGCTGGAGTCTAGCCGCAGTTCTAGAGGCAGGTGTGGGGGAAGGTTCGTAACCCGCTGCGTGTAGTGTTTCTTGAGAATCAAACGTAGCCATTCCGCCAGGCCCGCCCTCGTCATGTACCAATTGCTGCTCTCGTATCTCTCTCGGAGTAAATAGTCGTCGGGTAGATGCCGCCGAGTTGGGTGGTTCGTTGGGTGTACCGACTCTTTTTGTTGTTCTGGTGATTGGAGTACGGTGATCGGTACGGTTGGTGCTTGAAACCCCCAACGAAGTCTCTGGCCGCGACTCGGCCAGCCTTCTCAACGTCTCCGTATCTCTCCCTGGAGTCGGCTCCCAACTTCTTCTTGAATGAGCACCACCGCTGGCAACACTTCCAGTACCCGTACTCCTTGCACCACCACTGCCTGCGTCGGGACTCATGCTTGTCTTGCCAAGTCGACTAACCCCCGCTTCGTCCAAACTGACGCTCCTAGCATGGTGATCTCCGTTCAACGCGCCAGTAGGTTCCGTGGCAGATGGAACAATACCCATATCTTTGACTGCTCGTCCGACGCCCAAAAGGAAGTCTGTGACGGCGCGAACGAGGTCGTCCGATACTCGCAGTCCTTCGCGGTACTCCCCACCCACGAGTCTCCAAACCTCTTCCGCACTCCCAGCACCCCCACCCCCACCTGCCGCCTGAACCTCACAATCAATCTGAGCATTCAGCGCACGCCCATGGCCAGCCTTCAACAGTCCATTCAACTTCTCTACAGCGCCCACAATGACCCGGGCGTTCCGTACGAGATCGCTCGTGTTGCTTGCGCTTGAAGACGACGAGGAAGACGGAATCTTCGAAAGAGCGTTCTCGAAGAGGTCGAGTGAACTATCCAGGAGACTGTTGTGATCCGAGCGGTCGATAGACGCACCTCCTCGGCGAGAAGACATTGCTGGTTGACTGTCCGAAATATCGACACGACCTATATCCGACAGGGAGACAGTGTTGAACCTCCGGGTACCCAAAGGGCTGATAACGGACGGTGGCACAGTCGATGTGGTAGACTGGGGTACCCTATCCCTGTCATCGTAGCGGCTCAACGAGGACGGAGCTCTATCCCTGTCCCTCTCCCTGTCATCTCTTTCCCTGTCTCTGTCCCTTTCCCTTCCGCCACCAAGATTATACGCACTTTTGTACGCCCTCAAGTTCGCTGGAGGTGCCCTCTCATCGTCAACATCATCATCCAGCTCAGCCTCCTCCCTCTCCCTCCGACTGGAATACTCCGTCATCCCAATACTCGTCGCCGCCCTCCCATGCCCCTGACCCTGCCCTGTCCTCGACACAGGCCTCGACTCGGCCCGACTCTGACTTCGTATCCTCTCCAGCCTCTCCTCTCTCTCCCTATCTCTCTCTCTCTCCCTCTCAAAAACGGGACTCTCAACCAACTCATCCCTCCTCCTCATACTCCCTGTCACATACGCGTCTCTTCCCCCACGATCACGATTCTTAACTGGACTAAGCCCAGCAGCCTTCAACCCCTCCCCAAGTAAACTCCTCCCACCACCACCGCCACCCGCACCAGCAGCAATAGTCAACACGCTATCAGCACTCCCACCAGCTCTCGTAGCCTGCCTTCTCCCCAAGACCGCAGGCGAATACCCAGACTCCTCATGGTCTTCGTCGTCATCGTACTCCCGACTCCGATTTCCAAGGTCCTCAGATGCCCACGCGCCGCTTGTTCTTCGGGTGTTGATGGAATAGAATTTTCGTCGGCCGCCTGGGGTCAGCGTTGCTGGGTTCCTCGTGTTCGTGTTTGTGTCGCGTTGTCGCGTTGAAGTTCGAGATCCGGCGCTGCTCTCGAGTGGTGAAGGAGAGGGTGAGCGTGAATATGATCGACGTCGGTCGTCTTCCTCGTCGAGGTGCTAAAAAGGGCGAACCGAGTGAGTATTCATTCGTACAAAGAGAGTGAAACGGAACCAAAGTGTGAAAGGGTAAAAGGATGTCGCGAGAAGAAGAAAGAACAGATCGAAATGAAAGAACATGGTGGCGGTGGCAGTAAGCGTGAAGGAAGAGAAGGTGGGGAAACAGTGAAATGAATCCCGTTAGTTATGGCATAGGCACAATCGAATGAACGAACATTCACAGATTGCATATTCAACCACATCACGAGCCATAACCAGAACCACAGAAGCAAGCACGCGTTACGTACGAAAGAGAAAGATGATGAGAGTGGATGTGGGTGTTTGCGAAGATGCACGTAAGGTGAGTTCGAGGACATTGGGCGGGCGAAAGGTGACAAGGGAGGGGTACCGTAGGTAGAGGAAAGAAAAGAAACGCGGATTGGGGAAATGAAACGAGATACAACAAAATATTGCCAAGGATGAATGTTCCACCAATTTTGAGACATCCTAGACACTTGTGCCACAAAGAACAAGAAAGAGGGGGCGCGAGGGAACGATCAAAGCCAGTATAACGAACAAGGGGAGCTACGACACCATCGGAGTTCGGTTCACAAGATAAAGGGAAGCGAAAACTGGGGGACAAGAAAATATAAAACGAAACTCACCCCGTTCGAACTGGACAGACTTCCTCTCCGACTCGCAGTTCCACCACCCACACGTTCACCACGCGCACTCCCAGTGTTACTTGACCCCTCCCAAAATTCTCGTGGCAACGGTTGCCTCTTCTTCCCTGCACTAACACTACCACCGGCCGCAGTACCACCAAGTCCCCTACGGGAGCTGGCCACAGCAGCCAAGGCGGCACTCGCCAAATCCTCCCTCTCCCGGTCCCGCAAATCGAATGATATCGAAGGTAACCCCATCGAGGATCTCTTCCTGGGTCTTCCGGGCGACGAGAGAGGTGACGCCTGCCCACCGCCGGATCCAGATGTGGACCTCGATATGGAGGATAGCGCCTTCGCTGGAGACGCAGGGGCCGAAGTCAACCTTGTCCGTATTGAACGATGAGGACTAAGGTGTGTAGAGTATGTAGTTTCACGGAACGAAGGTGTAGTAGGCCTCCCTGGTGTTTTCGCTGAGGCTGATCGGGAGAGCGTGGATGACGTGTGGTTGAGCAGGATGGAGACCGGTGAGCCATCTTCGCCGTCCTCGTCTTCGTCATCGTACGAATTGAATGAGGAGTTGCCTCGGGCGGATTCGCGCTCTGTCTCGGAGCCTGAGAGGTCACGTCGGATGGCAGAGGCATGCGGCACAGTATCGGGTTGGTAAGAGTGGCGGTTTCTCGCGATGGAAGGTCGAGAGGAAGAAGAGGAAGAAGAGTGGGTGGAATGAGATGCTGAGGAAGAGGAAGAATCCGCCCTAGTTGTTGCATCTTTTATGCGTTGGGCGGAAGGTTTTGGAGACGGAGTGCTGAGTCGAGAGTATGATGACAATTTGGTCAAG